AATGGTGGGATTCCAGGTGTGCGCCACCAGCCCCAGCAAGTGTTATATTTCTGTACAATGATTTTTTCAAATGTCTATACTAGTCAATTTGGCTATGTTTTTGGATTTAGCCCAGTGGAAGTGCTGCAGAGCAGGGACCCTCCAGATAATACCTGGGTGGGCCCACGCTTTCCACTTAAGGGAGAAAGCAATCTGGGTATGTAGACATGGCATGAGCTTCTTATTTCTCAGCCCAGAGGGGAGCAAGTTACTAGTTTAAAATCTGCCTCTGCATGAATTTTACAGGAGCTACTCTGGGCCTCCAAGACAGAGCAGGTAGTGTCACAGCCAGCAACTATGCATGCCCACAGTACAAACGCAGTCAGTATTGGCCTGCTTGAGTGGGTAGAAGAGCAGATACAGGCTTGCTTTCATGAGATATAAATGTTTTGACACTCTATAAAGTGATAGCTGCCCAGAGAACATACTTGGGAACTAGGTTAAAGTCAGTGCTTGACACCATGCTTCTCAAACGGAATCTCTGCAGTCTTTGCTTGCTACCCTACATTTTTGGTTTGTTTTTTATTTGTTTGGGTATTTGTCTTTTTGTAGGGGCTATATGTGTGTCTGCAGGTCCTGGGGCTTGAATTCAGGGCCTGAGCACTGGCTCACTCTCCCTCTTCTTACCCTTACCCTCTTCTCGCTCCCACACCCTCGCCCTGTCTCCCCCTCCCTCTCTCTCCCCCTTCCTCTTTTTCTCACCCCTTCTCCCCCCTCCCTCTCCTCCCTTTCTTCCCCCCTCCCTTCCTCTCTCTTTCTCCTCTCTCCCGCTCTGTGTATACCAGTATGGAGCTTGAGCTCCGAGATTTGCATTCTTGCTTGGCTCAAGGCTAGCAGCACTCTACCACTTGCGCCACACTTGCAGTTATCTGACTTTTGTTTTAGTGAAGTAATGGCACATGGCACCCAGGTCTGCGTAGGCCTTCCTTGAGTCTCTGGGAAGATCTTCTGACTTCGTGAGTTGCTTCGACTGTCAGTCTGTCCACATGCTTGGCATAGGCCTGATCCTCACTGTTAGTCCTTGGTGTCCACATGAGCAGTCCAAGGCATCCCTTGACTAACTCGGCCCACAACTTCCTTCAGTATGAGAGTGGCTTTCACTTGGAAGCTATCTGACCCATGCGGTCGGCGGGCACGTGACTATCCTCTTTTGGTCCTTTTGTTTTGTATTTGTTCTTAAGATAATCTTACTGTGCAGCCCTGGCTGGTCTCACGCACGATCCTCCTGCCTCAGATTCCTGTGCGCTGGAATTACAGACCACCCAGCTTCCCTTGTCTTCTCTTTTAGTTGCATTCCATCTTCTTTTTTATTTAGTTTTTAGTTGTTTTTTTCCAGATATAGGGCTTGAATTCAGGGTGTGGGTGCTGTGACTGAGCTCTTTTGCTCAAGGTTAGTGCTCTACCACTCAGCCTCCTGAGTAGCTCGGATTACAGGTATGAGCCACTAGTGCCCAGCTTGCATTCCATCTTTGAATTGAGGCTTTGTTGGTCTTAGTGATCATGTAGCTTCCTAGGAGCTAGCCAACACTGGCAAAGCAGCATCCTTGCTTCCATTTCTCAGCAGCTGACCACTGTCTGCAGTGACTGACTTTCCAGCACACGCCCTTCCCTGTTTCACTAGGTCATATAAGTTAAAAATCGATGAAAGGGCCCAATGCCAGTGGCTCACGCCTGTAATCCTAGCTACTCAGGAAGCTGAGATCTGAGGATCATGGTTCAAAAACAAATACCAGGAAGCTGAAACATGTCTTAGAGGAGTGAGGGTTCAAGGGGCGGACAAATAGAGGGGAAGAGTGTGCAAATACAGTCAGGGTGCATATATGAAAATGGAACTGGGAAAGCAGAGGACGGGCAGGTGGGTATAGACGCAGGGAAGAACATGGAAGGGATGACTGATCAAGATGCACTGTACACAGAACCTGAAGTGTTGAGTTGAAACCCTTTTCTTCAACCTTTTTTTTTTTTTTTGGCCAGTCATGGGGCCTGAACTCAGGGCCTGGGCGCTGTCCCTCAGCTCTTCAGCTCAAGGCTAGCACTCTACTACTTGAGCCACAGCGCCACTTCTGGCTTTTTCTGCTTATGTGGTGTTGAGGAATCGAACCCAGAGCCTCATGCATGCAAGACAAGCACTCTACCACTGAGCCACCTTCCCAGCCCCCTTTCTTCAACTTTTTAAAGATAATAAGAAATGAATTTTCAAGATAGAAACAAAGCACCAGATCGTGGAGGGCAGTCAGCGAAGGGACTGCGTGGAGGTCACGCTCCCCGTGGGGACGTACTCACCTTGCACTTACTGCTCTGGGCCCTGTTTTGCGGTTTGCCAGTCTTCCAGAAACAGATGTTCAAGTATTTCCTTCCATAACCCAGTGGATACTGCACGGCCATGCACGGGAATATTTGAAGGGGTCTGGGTTTCCCAACACGTAATAAAAGTCCCACTTTCTTTTCCTTTTCAGGTGAAAGTGGGCGATACTTTGGATCTTCTCATCGGAGAGGATAAGGAAGCAGAAACGGAGGTGGTGATGCGGGTTCTCCTGAAAAGGGTGTCTGAAGAGAAAACAGAAAGTGAAAAATACCGCGTCGTGCTCCGCCGGTGGAAGAAGCTACAGTTGCCAAAGAAGAGCCGGTCTAAATGAGCGCGCTCGCTGGCGGGGCTGGCTCCTCAGAGCCGCTCCCTGGAGCCCGCTCCAGGGCCACAGCCCCCGGGGTCTGTTTCCCCTTGTGCACCAGCCCAGCCGCTGGCCGAGGCTGCGGCTCCCGCCCGCCCACGTCCACGTCCACGTCCGAGGGCCTTTTGAGAGGACTGCATGCCTGAGGGGCTGGGCGGCGGACCTGCCCGACCTGCCCGCCGTTCCCAGACATCTACCTCGGAGTCTGCGCAATAAACTGCCCTGGTTGTCTCCTCATGTTCTCATTCAAACCTCGTCCCTGTCTGGGGCCGGCTTTACCACCTGCAGGCTGCAAGGGCACAGGCCAAGTGGGGGCTGCCATGCAGGTTATGGAGGTCTTCAGGAAAGAGGGAGCCCTTCTCCCCTCTGGTCTGTCTTCAGGAGGCCGGACCAGCGATTCCCTCCCACTCGGAATTACTTGTGGGAGGCAAGGCAGCAGGCAAAAGCATGGAGGCTCTTTTGGGAATGGCCCTCAAGCTAAGAGTGGTTTACCATTTCTGGAACATTCTTTAAAATAGTGGGGGGTGGGGCTGGGAAGGTGGCTCAGTGGTAGAGTGCTTGCCTCACATGCATGTGGCCCTGGGTTTGATTCCTCAGCACCACATAAGCAGAAAAAGCTGGAAGTGGTGCTGTGGCTCAAGTGGTAGAGCAGTAGTGTTGAGCTGAGGGACAGCGCCCACAGCCAGAGTTCAGACCCCACAACTTACCAAAAAAAAAATAAAAATGTGTTTATGTACACATAGTCACAACAATAGAGACTGTGTATGACCTACAAAAGCCTGAAATCTTTACTATTTGACTCCTGATTTAGGATAGAAGCAGAGGGTTTAATTTAAGGTAGAAGTGGGAAGTCCACAGGTCTTACAAAGAGACTAGAGAATCAAATGTTATAAAAGGAATCAGACTGAAAACTTGAGTGTGCCCGCGCATTCTGTGGCATGAGGTGGTCTGCGTGGAACAAGTTGCAGGCTGCAGCACCCGGAAGCTGCCATGCTAAGAAAAGGTGAGCTGGACTTCCTGTCAAACTGGCCCATGCTTTCATGAGCCCCAGTGCTGCTGAGAGCCTAGGCAGATTGAAGGGAAGGGAATCTTCTACAGCTCAACGCAGCTGATGGGGCCAGTGAGTCTGGTCACACACACACACACCCACACACACATACATACCTCTTTTTTTCATAAGACTTTTTTACTTGAAAACATAAAACTCTTAGGTGAAATACAGTGTGGTGTACTTGGGAGCTTTCATGTTTTGCCACTTGTTTTATTGGATTTACTGAGTCAGCAAAAATATGTTGAATTTCTACATGGCGTAGTTGTAGGAGATTATGCCCATCCTTTTTCTACCTTTGCTCTCCTCTTCCCCACTTCCTCTTTTTTTTTTTTGGGGGGGGGGGTCCGGTCGTGGGGCCTGACCTCTGAGCCTGGGCGCTGTCCCTCAGCTCTTCAGCTCAGGGCTAGCTCTCTACCACTTGAGCCACAGCGCCACTTCCGGCTTTTTTTCTTTTTGCTTATGTGGTGCTGGGGAATGGAACCCAGGGCCTCATGCATGCAAGGCAAGCGCTCTACCACTGAGCCACCTTCCCAGCCCCCCACTTCCTCTCTTGACTTGTCTTTGCATTAGGAAAGTGATTAGAAAGCCTATGAAGTGTGGCGGGTGAGGCCACCCAGTCCAGCAGGCCTCTGCTACCGTTAGCAAGGGGGTCACTCAGCCATGGCTTTACCCGCTGTCCTCACTGGACAAGTTAGGGGTCAGGATACTGAATGCTGCCTTGTGTCTCGGAGGAGGAAGAATGTTACACAAGGTAAGGAACAGAAAGGGCAGGACATGAGGGGAGGGTTTGGGAAGAGTGAGGGCTCAATACAGAATCTGTGTGTCCCAGGTTGGCCTCAAACAGTCCAGGCTCAGCTTCCAGAGTGTTGGAACTACAGGCATGTGCCACCACTCTGACTCAGGAAGGGCCATTTGAAAGACTGCTGCGCTGTGGCTCTTGGTAATTAGTACCTCCATGCTACTTGATAGGTTTGATCCATTCCCTATTTCTGTTTTGAAAATCAAACTAAGCAAAGGACTTCAGATAACAGGATGCTGGTTTGGTCATGCATGTGGCAAAACACCTGATCAATGTATCTGTATGCAGTGCAAAGGACTTGTTACACATTCATGAAATGATAAAGGGCTTTAGGAACAACTCGAAGAATTATGGAGCCCTTGCAACGAAGTCATAACGGAGCTGGAGGACAGCATCTTCTAATCTCCGAGCAAGGCAGCCAGCAAAAATGACCAGCAATGCAAGTCAGGAGCCAGTGGCTCATTCCTATAATACTAATCACTCATGAGGCTCAGATCTAGGGATCATGGTTCAAAACTATCCCAGGCAGGAAAGCCTGTGAGATCTTATCTTCACTTAACCAGCAAAAAGCCAGAAGTGGAGCTGTGGTTCAAATGATAGAGCCTGAGTTCAAGCTTCAGGACTGGCACACACACACGGCTAAAGAAACATTTGGACATACTCTATTAGTTCTCGACATGGGGCAAGCGCCCTTTGGGGACATTTAGCAATGTCTGGAGGTATTTTGAGTTGTCACAGGAAGCAGGGTGCTAAAGGCACCAAGGAGGTAGACCTAGGATGATCCTGAGGTGCAGATGGCCCCTACAAGAAGGAGGGTCTAAGCAAAAATATGTCGTGTTGAGTTGACAAGAGAGTGTGGTTTTGGTTTGATTGGCTTAAATGTTTGGGAGAGCCGGGCGCTGGTGGCTCACGCCTGTAATCCTAGCTACTCAGGAGGCTGAGATCTGAGGATCACGGTTCAAAGCCAGCCCGGGCAGGAGAGACCATGAGACTCCTATCTCCAATAAACCACCAGAAAACCGGAAGTGGCGCTGTGGCTCAAGTGGTAGAGCGCTCGCCTAGAGCTGAAGAGCTGTGGGACACCGCCCAGGCCCAGAGTTCAAGCCCCACGACCGACAAAAAAAAAAAAATGTTCGGGAGAGCCTGAAAATGCTTCTGGTATGTGCTGGCAGTTTTAAAAGAACAATTTAAGGTTATGTCTAAAATCGCTCTAGGAGATATGCTGCATTGCATTACCCTGACAGAGATTTACATAGCTGGGAAGGCAACCATTCTGAGAAAACAATGTCTCAGGAAAACTTCTGTTTCTTCCCTTGCTTAGTGATAAGAGGGTGGCCCTGGCTGGCCCAGAACTTGTGATCTTCCTTCCTCTACCTCTGGAGTGATGGGATTACAGATAACCACACCACCAACCTGCAAGGATAAACCTTAATTCTTCCTTTATTTGTGCAATAAAGGCTGGAGAAACAAAAACTTTTTTCAAGAAGCTAACAGAGACCTAGGTGCCAGAGATTCAAACGCCTATGATCCTAGTTACTCAGGAGCCTGAGATCTGAGGATGGTGGTTGGAAGCCAACCCAGGCAGGGAAGTCTATGAGACTCCAATGAACCAGAAAAAAACTGGAAGTGGAGCTGTGACTCAAGTGGTAGAGCTCTAGCCTTGAGCAAAAAAGCTTAGAGACGTGGGCTGGGTTGTAGCTCAGTGGCAAAGCACTTACCTAGCAAGTGCAAAGTCTTCTGTTTGATCCCTAGTATCAAAAAAGAAAAGACAAGCTGGGCACTGGTGGCTCACGCCTGTAATCCCAGCCACTTAGGGAGCTGAGATCTGAGGATCACTGATCAAAGGCAGCCGGGGTGTGAAAAGGCCTTGAGCCCTAGCCTTGAGCAAAAAGGAGCTTAGGGACATCACCCAGGCCTGGAATTCAAGACTCCAGAGGCAGAAAAGAAAAAACAACAAAGAAATTTAAGTAATAAAGGTCTGTCTTACCTTACCAAAGCTCTGTCCTTAAGAAAGGTAAAGCTTACCTGCCACAGCTCTGTCTTACCTTGGTTGTAAAACTCTGGCTTTCAAAAAGCTCCCATTAGACAACCAGTCCCCAGGTCCAGGAGGCTCTCAGAGAGAGAAGGATGTTTGGTGCATCCTTCTCCCTGCCCTCCTTACCTTGAGCCACACCAGTGTTTAACTTAGAAATCATCAAACACTGTAAAACAGGGCCAGGTTACTTTTGGAGAAGCAGTTGTTAAACATTTAACCAACACCCAGTGCAAGAGTTCTCCTATTAGCAAAAACCTTGGCCACTACAGACATTACTCATTCTTGAAGACAGTAGATTAACTTGCTTTCTTGCTTGTTAATCTACCTGCCAGCCATTTGATAGCAGCTACCACACCACTTACTGCTTGAAAATTTTCAGAGAGATCTGAAACAGGATGCAGGGCTGTGTGTGTGTGTGTGAGAGAGAGAGAGAGAGAGATTGATAACTGGGGCTTGAATTTAGGGCCTGGATGCTGTCCCTGAGCTACTTTGCTCAAGGCTAATGCTCTACCACTTGAACTAGTGCTCCAATTCTAGTTTTTTGGTGGTTAATTGGTGATGAGTCTCTTGAGTTTGTCTGCCTTGGCTGGCTTCAAACCTCCGTCCTTGGATCTCACCTTTCTGAATAGCTGGGATTACAGGCCTGAGACATTGGTGCCTGGCTTTTCTTTTCTTTCTTTCTTTTTTTTTTTTGGTTCGGTTGTGGGGCCTGAACTCTGGGCCTGGGCGCTGTCCTTCAGCTCTTCAGCTCAAGGCTAGTGCTCTACCACTTGAGCCACAGCACCACTTCCGGCTTTTTTTTCTTTTTGCTTATGTGGTGCTGAGGAATCGAACCCAGGGCCTCAGGCATGCAAGGCAAGCACTCTACCGCTGAGCCATCTTCCCAGCCCAATGGCTTTTCTTTTTTAAACCTATACCCCTGTGCACAGAGTGTGCTTGTGCTGAGCTCTCAGCTTGTTAAAGCCAAGGAGTTAAGCTTCTTTCTAATCTCTTATGTCAGAAATGGCACAGACTAAATGCCAGACCAGGGCTATTGCCTTCTCCAATCAGCAGTCAGCACTTAGCAAGCACCTTCAGTCTTGAGAGAAACAGAGTCAGGAAATCTTGCAGTCTTGCAGGTGTGCCTTAGGCCACAATCCAGC